GCCCAAAGACCATACTATATACATAAATATATATATATATACATACATACATACATACATACATACATACATACATACATATATATATCTATATACACATGTATTTTCAAATTATAAGCTTAGCATATATAAACATACATAGATGTATGTGTAGTTATATGTTTCTGTACATAAACTTGATCAGTATTTTTTATTTCTATATACATGTATGTATGCACGTCGACAGAACTTCGTTTGACCTTTTCAGGGCACCCCGTCCTCCGCCCCGCGCCGTTCTCATCCGGCACAGCTTTTGGGGAGCCTTGGTCGAATTAGACCGAGAGAGTTGGATCCAAAGCGTAGCTGAAAAGAGCTGGGAGTTTGGGTGTGTATTGCGGCCTATGTCAGAGCCAGTGACAGTGCTGTCAATACTCTTCCGTTTTCGGTCTGCAACACCCGAATCCCGTGAGGCGAAAACCTAGAAGCAAGCACTGCAGGTGACAAGGTCCATTGATGCACCCACAGGTTGTTCGAAGGCAAACCTCAGTGAGATAAAGGATATGGGAGCTTGAGGTACACCTGTTCATGCCTCCGGTGCCACACATTCGTTTTAATATACCTCCAAGAAAGTCCTACTGGATACTTGCAAGAATCGCTTATGATCGGCCCCGGAGCCCGATACCCTAAACCTCTGAAAACCCCAAACCCTGTAACCTACATTTGAAGCGTGAGGCCCGTGGAGGAGCTACGGCGCTTCCCGAACCTGGACAACCAGAAGCCAGAGGAGAAGAACGACAAGAACGACCCACAAGTCTCGCAGGAGAACGAGGGGGTGATTGGGGCAACAGGGTTTAGGGTTTACTACCCAGTCGTCAATGTACGACCATGCGTTTCGGTTCTGGAAATATGTTTGTGTTTCGTAGTTGCCTCGGGGGGGGGGGGGGGTAGAGTGCCATGTATTTTCCAATCCCCATCCTTACATGTATAGACTGCAACTTTGGGTTTGGTACAGGGAGCTTTGGTCTTGACCTTGAGAGTGAGCCACAGAGACTGCCAAAACCCAACGATCCGGAATAAAAATAACAGAATAGCGACAACAACAGCGATAATCCATGATGCTAACAGCTATCCCGTCTTGCCGAAAGGAGGCTGAACCCCGCTGAGCCCGAAGCTCTTCAACTAGATTTAGCCTCCGGTCAACAATCAAAATCGCAATCCGGAAGTCAATCCTCAGAGAGATGGGAGTTTCCGAAAATTAGGGTACCTTATTTTGGGGTCCTTATAATAAGGATGCTATTATCTAGGGTATTATATTAGGGTCCCCTGTTTTTGGAACTCCCCAGCAAGGACCACCCTTTGATGCAGCGGCCGCCCCCGGAAGTGCAACGGCCAATGCTTCGAGAGGCGGGAGTTTGTCTTCGTGACGCCCGAAATGTCCGCCTTGTAAGGTTTTCGAGAGCGAGTGGGTTTTGGGTTTCGGGTTTGGAATCTTGAAGGGAAGTGGGTTTGTAGGCTGCTAGCTTGTTGGAATAAGGCAGTGGGTTCTAGCTTGTGCGTGTTCTTCTTTGTTCCGCTGGATTCACTGTGGGATTTCGGCTGAGCCCGAACGATTCCTCGGCCCCTGAACTCACTTTCCACCAATGGGCGCCCCAAACCCTGGGCTTGTCCGAGTTGTGAGAGCGTATACTCCTATCAACTGCAAAGGAAACCCTAAACCCTAAACCCTAAACCCTAGAGCCGAAACCCTATAAACCCAAGCCCTCCCCAACCAAAACTCCTAAACCCGACGCCAGGATCCTGATGGAATGCGTCGCCATCTGCAGGCCCAGCGGCAGAGATGTCGGGCACTTCTGGTTCCGTAAGCTTACAGCATCCTCCCATGGGGTCCCCTGAACCCAACACACTCTAGAGATCCTCAACCAGAACCGTGTCCAAGTTATCGTTTAGCACTGCGCAACTGGAGATGCCTTCCGAGTTTCCAGCAGTTGTCTCAGTCGCCTCGATATAGGTCTTTATTAGTAGCCATTGCGCTTCCTCCTAATTGTTTTTTCTGTTTGGGCGTCGCCCCATTAATTTACACCCGGGGTCAGCGCGGTGGTTAAGAAAGGTCATGCCGACATGGTGGGTCTTCTGGTTTCTGGGGCGGTAGCTTTCATGTTGTTCTGTTGTTCAGGGTTTATAAGGTTTATATGGGGAGTTTAGGGTTTGGGGGTCCTTGCTTATGACGTTCAAAAAGCAGCAATAGTGAACCCGTGTCCCGGACCGGGCCCTAATTTGGAGGGCTCGTCTCGAAAACTGCTACTTTTCCTACTACTACTACTACTACTACTACTACCACCACTACTACTTAGTGCTACCACTTCAACGACGACGACGCCGACGACGACGACGACTACT